GGAAACCTTATCCTTTCAAAGCAAAAATCAATACTCATTGAAAGAGGATGAGTGTATACTTTATGTAACTTTAAAAGGACATAAAGTGGCCATCATTCAAGTACTATGGTAGCATTTGTATGATAAGGACAATGGGAGAATCATACGTGTATGTGTACTCGTATAATCAAACAAATCCATAATAGAATTAATTAGAGCAACCACACATTATATCACCCTTCAAATACAATATAACACTATAAACTCATAATAATAATAATAATAATAATAATAATAATAATAATAATGATAATATTGGACTGTATTGTAAGTGTAGTGTATATAATAGCACATGTAATCATGTACAAACATACATTACAAGCATGTATGGGATATACAGTAAAATAATGCTAATACACACATGTATTATGATTGGGTATTATCAGTGTGTGCTGTAGTGACTATATAATGTCCTAAGGACAGAAATCAAAGGCTTGACTGTGAAAACAATTATCATACAAATGACTGGACAGTAGGAGTGAACACTATAATATCTTGTCAGTTATGTTTCTGTCACTCTCTCCCTCTTTCTTTCTCTCCCTCCCTCTCTCTTTCTCTTCCTCCCTCTCCTTCTCTCTCTCCCTCTCCCCCTCTCTCTTAATTCCTATTAAATCAATACATGTACATATGCTGTGATTAAAATTTGAGGGGGATAGGAAGCTTATGGTAGAACAAGGAGGGTGCAGACAGCTGGTATGCATGAGTTTAATATTTCTCCCTCCTCCAGCCATTCAACACTGGGCATTTGATAGGCTGCAATTAGAGAAGGAATGCAAGTATATGTACACATACCTAATTAAAGGCACTGATATAGACAAGCATGTACATTAGAGATAAAAGCTGGTATACTATGTCTGATTCAATCAGTGAGTCTGTATACTGAGAGACAAATATGCATGGAGTCAGGCAGGCTTTGCCGTTACTAGCAAAACAAGAGATTAACATTAAACTCTGCTGACGGCCAGTGACTGATAACAATCTTGTACAGTGTGCAGATACGATTTTATTAATGATAATAATTATAAGGAAACAAAAATTGCTGAGAGAGAAACATGAAACACTAAATAATACCTAGAAAAATATTTCCAGCAATTGATCACCAAAGGACAGATGTGAGCAGGTGTACAGATAAATGCATGTATACACTAGTTACTATACCAACCAGGCAGACAAGAGGAACAACAATTGAAGTAATATAATGCATATACATGCCTTGTGTACATACATGATGATGATGATATTAATGATCTACTTGTATTAGGAATCTCATGAATGCAATGACTAAGAGATTAAGTATAAGAATTAGAACAGGAGAGTTTAATTGCCCATCTCATTAGACAAATTGAATGATTCGGATCAGTGGGAAAGTGTAAGTGAATATGCACTATACATACAAGCATCTGGTTCTGCCATTATTATTAAATTAAACTCACATGTACATGTAAATATATGAAACAGTACATGGATGTACATGTACATGTACATATTTGTACACTGATGCTAGCTGTCGTCATTACTTCTACATAACTCAACCTCCCTCTGTCTGTCACTCTTCCTCTCTCTCTCTCTCTCTCTCTCTCCCTTACATGCACCTAATTGCACATAAACATATAATGTAAGTACGTATACATGTGTACATGTACATGCATATATAAAATACATGTATTTAGCATCAATATTATAATCCATTCTCTTCTGACCTTTTTGTCGTCCATTGTCAGAGGCGTGCATCGAATGACGGAGGTTCACGCGTGACGTTGAGGGCGGAGTCTGCATTGAGGATGAAGGCTCACGAGTCGTGGCCTTCTCAAGTGAATTGAGCATTGCTTCATAGCGTGCTCTTAAAGCCTCTGCTTCAAGGGAGAGCTTCTCCTGCTTTAACACTTGACATAAATAAGATCTAATATTTGGTAATACTCTATCAACAGCTAACGGAGAAAGAGAGAGAGAGAGAGAGAGAGAGAGAGAGAGAGAGGTGATAGACAAAAGATGAAAGACAAAGTGAATAAATTAACACCATCGTCGGTGTTTGTTATGCGTGTGTGTGTGTGTGTGTGTGTTAGATATTATGATACCAGAGGGTGTTGTATGGTAAAGAAGTGTGCTGCTGTTGACAACACCAAGCAATCATCAAAGAAACATTCAGGATATGTACAGTACTATGGACCACTAATAATCAATTTTATAGAGACCCATGATTATAAGTAAGTACATTTGAATGTATGATAGGTATAATGTGAATAGATGTATAGATTGATGTACTGATTAATATTAATAATGCAATGAGAGTCTCAAAGATCATAGCATCATAGAAGGATATGGTGAGTGTATAATGATAACATCTTGCAATGTACAAAACAGTACTGACAGAATGTGATAACAGGACAAATTATTGGTGTCAATAAAAATCAGAATATTATCAATATCCTACTGGATATAAGCTGGCTTTCTACTATATACATGTACATACATGTACATGTACATAAGAGGGTAGTCAAGGAGAAAGAGAGGGGGAGAAACCCAATATAAAATATATTAAGGGGGTGAGCCCAGTTCAAAGTGAATCATACACAAATACATTGACTCAAATTACTTTCAATCCTTACTAGTCAGTACACTACAATCCTGACACAAGACAAGCGAGAAATAAAATTAATATTATGATATTTTATAATGCTAGCTTTATAAGTGATGCTGTAATGAGAGTTAAGACGAATATAGAAGTGGTGATAGTTGTCACATCTTTCACGTTACGTTAGTGGAGCACATTTACAAGTTCTACCTGAGTACAAGCTACCAATCACTTTGTTTGCAGTTGATGATTTCAGCCACAATAGAGGAGGGTTATCACTCCCTTGCTTTGTCCCCTTACCTCATTTTCACTGTTTCAAAATTCATAATTATTATCATCATCGGCTACTTATTAAGCTTCTAATTTGACTCTTTTATATTTTAAAGCTTGTCTCCTTTTCTTCCTCACCCTCCCCCCTCTCTCTCATACTGAGAAGAAACGACACCATTTCTTCTCAAGACACCATAGCATGCCTCCATTGAGAGAGATTCTTTTTGTCATATAATAATAAATACACGAAGTACCACTAATGTACCACTAATGAATGACGTATTCACACAATAACAAACAATAGTACACAGAACCAATAAAATACTCTAACCACCGACCAGCTGCTACACACACAGTACATGCAAGTATTCTTTAAGCAAATACATACCATATAAACGGTGTCATTGAAGCGATTAGACACTAATTTGATACATGTACATACATGTACACCTACACTGCACACGTACAGGTAGTACTAGTAAGTATTATTTCTATACTCTTATGCCAAGATGAATGAAGCCATTTTGATTATTAGTATACCTTACTCTAGTTATGGTCTGTGGCTTGTAAGAATATTATCCACATACAGGTACATAAAAATAAACATTAATTATATACTATATGCCCTTGTAAAAAAATACTCAATTTTTTTGTTTACATGTATATGGAATGACTGTCTCAAATGGGTCACTTTGCTCAATTAAAATAACACTGGGTCCAAACTGGTCCAGCCTATGCATAATCTGCAAATAATAAGCATAACTCATTGGAGCCATCATTTGATTCACTCTAGTGAATAATTGCACGTAGTACTAAGTATAATAACATTTCTACACCACTACACTCAAAAAATAACATTAAGCCACTATCCATACATTGTAGTATAAAAACTGGTACATCTACTAATAATGCACGGGATAATAGTTTTAGCAGTGACTCCAATGTATACTCCAATTTCTCAGCATTGTTTTATAGTGAGTTGGTCCACTGTACATGTACAATGTATATCTACATGTACATGTTCAGCATGCAAGTTTTCTCTGTTACATGTGATTAACACATGCTCTCCATGTTTGCTCATAATCTTAATGTACTTATATGCAAGTATGTATTTTCCAGATCTGCCAAAGCCTCCCATTAATGTCTGCTATCTACGCAGTATTGGTTGTCAATAATACTCAGTATATGCACATGTGCTAAAGCAGCTTTTCGTCCGACAGCCATTTCCTTTGGTGGCACCAAAGAACAGACAAAAACTGTGTAGACTATTCCCATACCATTAAAGCTGCATCATGTTCCGACTGTGCATGCATGTTTGACATTATGTATGTATATATGAGGTGAGGAGTATCTCATAAAGGGATAGTGTCGCCTGATGGTAACAGGCTGGGGAGAGATGACACAGTGAGAGTTAAACCAACACAATATTGTATCAACAAATGCTCAAAGAAGACACAACACGGACAAATACTACACACGAAGGAGAGGTTATACACAAACTGAACAGGTGAAATATCATGAGAGACAATTAGTGATATGTATACATAATGGATGAAGGGATGTAAGAGGTGGTGAGAGAAACACATCTTACCTTTTAATAGCTGCTGGGCTTCGTTGTTTGGTTCCATAGTGATATAACCTTCTCTCCCAGCTACTGTTAGAGCATCACCTCAACACTGGAGAAGAAAAGCGGGCTGTAGTCTGGAAGAGAAGATAAAGGGTCGGTCAATGTCAGCCTTGTTAGGGTAGGATCTGGCGCTTGAAAAGGCTCAAACTGCAAGCTACTTAACACTGATTCTTCTAGGCAAGGGATTATAGATACAGGACAGCTTCGTACTAACTCAAACAAACCCTCCCAAGCTACAAACAAAGCTAAATATCACATGCAAATATCCAGAAAATGTGAAATCAGTCAAATCACCATCTCATAATTAGTCCCGCCCATTCCCGCCATTATACCGTATAATATTTCATATTCTAATTATTCATAAAACCACGCCCATCTACAATATTTTACCGTATTGTTCTTCTTTCTAAATAATCAAATAAAAGAAAAATTTAAAAAGTAAGTTTTTAGACAAAACAAACCTTTGGCTTTTCCTTTCTGTTTCACGCCTTATTTTTAATTTATTCTCAAGGGAGGAGAGGGAATGGCTGGTCAAACGGAAACACAAGAATATGAGTTCGAGAGAACGCTGGTTAGTTATAGTATCAGTGTGATGGGCGTGGCCACAATATTCTTTCTTCTTTTTTTGTCAGATGCATGGACGTTATCGTAGTGAGCTGGGAGGGTTTGCCCGTGAGATAGCAGCCTCTCAGAGAGAAAGAGATGCCCAGAGGATGAAAATGGCGTCGGTAGCAAAACATCAAAGACGGGAACTGAGAAAAAGTAAGCAAAAGGTTAAAATGAAGACGACGTACGAGCTTTTAAAGTTCCCATACATGCATAAATTATAATAATAATTAATACCAATCAGCTGGAAATATTGTCATGGAATTAATATTAAAGGTGGATTATTAAACCCACCAATTATCTCATTCTGAGCATCCTTGGGTACACTAAATTGCCAATCCGCTGATTACAAATTTTCAACAAATTGTCAAATTCAACTCTCACTGATATTTCGGTAGTACTACATGTGTACATGTACATGTATGTTGTTATGTGCTATTTTTTCTACTTGTATTTATTTATTATGCTTTGTATAGGATCATTTAATATATTCAAGACCTATATAGCTCCTTATGTTGGTGACTGGTTGTTCATACTAATGCTAGGACTACTAATGGCCGTACTGTCATTCATCATTGATTATCTCATACAAATACTCGGAGAAGGTACTAAAGTGCATGTACATGTAATTTAACATCTTAAAAAAGAACATCTTTATAATGTGGACAATTAGGACACTTTTATAATGAGGGCACCTTTTTAATATCTTAATTTGTACATACAATGTATCTTATACATAAATGCCTCTGAAATGAGGACACCTAATCCTGTATTAAGGACAGGTAGTGTGGGCCCAGTGGTGTCCTTAATAAAGAGGCTACAATATGCATTAGTTATGCTACATGGATGCACATTGATTATATTGATCACAATTCCAGGATTGCAATGAAATCATAATTATTCTAGAAATGTTGTTCATATACGTACATTGACATACAGTATGACGTGTGTGTGTGTGTGTGTGAATGAATACTTGTGTAATTTGTATAATAAATAATTCTTTGTCTTTTGTGCTGTATTTGTTTTGTCTGGAGCCACATCACTCTATTACATGTATGTCTGCCCATGTCAATCTGGCTATAATAGCTTAACCATTTCATTAACAACTTCTTACCTCTTGTTTGAAGGAAAGGTTCCATCATTGCTCTTAGATCTAGAAGAGTTAGGGTTGAGTCTGGTCTAGGTTTCCTAAAATTTCCCATTTTCCAGCTTTTGGTCTCTCATATATCTAGCCTAAGTCTCCTATTTCTAGTTTGATGCATACCGTATAGCTGGAAAAGTTTGCGGGAATTATATTTTGTGATTTTGTACCCATACAGCTTATTTTAATGTTTGTGGAATTTAATTTTGCTGGTGTAGGCGTGTACTGTTGATACACCCATTACTTATAATGCTTTGCGGAATCAAATTGTGCGTTTTTATGATGAACAGCAAACAGCAAAATTAAATTCCAGCAAATATTTCTAGCTATACGGTACGTATTGATATAATTACATTCTTTCTGATTAACTCAATTTTTGTTAATGCCCCTCACTGAATGGAGTGCTTCATACACTTACAATACAGTCTATACACGTGTCAGGATATGTGACATACCATTCATATTCTAGTACTCTATCATTTTTAGTAATGTCTTGCACGTGTTTGTTCATCCATGGTGGCCAACACACGTCTCTGTCTACAATTATAATGCCTTTAATTTGTAATTCATTTTGAAGGGTGTAAGTAATTCATTTTTTATTAAGGAATTTGCAATGTGTATAATTGTACATGTACATGTATTGGAAAGTGACCTCTATACTGTACATGTACATTCATCACACTGTACTGTATGCATGTACATGTACATGTAGGTCTTATTGTAATAAAGGTCTTAATGATTTTATTGAACAAAATATACTTGTACCAAAATTGTGTAATTTTCTCTTGTGAGAATTATTATAAATTCCCACCATAATCAAAATATCATAGTAGCCGTTTCCTTCCACTATAACATAAGAAGAAATTGAGTATACTGCATGCCTATAGTAGAATGTGGGGTTTCACACAGAGCAACTAAGTGAGCTAAACAGCATGCTTCTGCTCAAACTTTATACACAACATAAGGACATGTATATGTTTCAGAAAAAAAAATAGAGATTCTCTCGTTGATACTTTTGACAAAATTTAACCAAATTGGACACTAGTGGAGGGCCTTTTTGTTCCATTTTTGAGCAACTTGACAATCCACTGACAAGAAGCTGGGATAAGCAATATGCTAAAACCCTGTGGGAAACCGACTTATACATTATACATGTACATGTACATTGTATATAAAGTTTATTGAATAACTTTCAATAAATACATGTACATATACTGTACTTGTACATACATGTACATGTATACAGTAAAAATATACAAAGTTTGTACATACTACACCAACAAAATATACATACATGACGTTTGTTTATAGAATCACAATCACTAATTATTGATATCATTGTTGATTTATGCATACAACATGTACATCACATACGTTTATTATATTAGTTTGGTACATGTATATTTAGTGTTTAGTGTTTATTTATGTAAGCTTTAGTTATTGCTTATTATGATAGTCGCTACTTTCTCACTTTTAAATCACAGCTGACATCACCACGTATAGCATTTCATCACTTATTACCTCAAAAGTAATTAAATTTTTGTAATAATAAGATTTTATAGACTAGTACTGACTCATAGTTACTCATGATTAATTAAATTTTGATTGTTTTCTTACTTGCCATACCACTCCCTACAGTATGGGCCCAATCTCTCAGACAGTCACCAAACAAAAATTAAAAATCTAATTCCTCAATAAAGTACATGCATATACAGTCTACATATCTGTACATGTACATGTAATAATTGACATGGTTGTAAAATTTTAATGTATTTTTGTAATTTCGTGTATTAAAACTTAAAAAGAAGATATACTTTTAAAATACATGTACATGTATATGTACAAAATGTGCATAGAAAACTGCAGTACTACATTCACAAGAACATGCACATGCATTTAATATTCTTTATAGTCTAAAAAAATTAATTGATAATAATAATGTTACAGTACGTATGTACTATTAATCAATAATCATTATTATTATTATTCATTTTCCTTCAGCTCATCAAGTTCTTAGCTTAAAGCTGATAGCTGACTCTCACTGGTTTCTTAAGGCATTTCTGTGGGTTGTGTTTCCATTGATACTGATACTCTTCTCTGTTGGCTTTGTTCAACTAGTGTCTGTTCATGCTATTGGTATGTTCAAGTCTTTTAATCTTTGTCTTCCTCTCCCTCTCATCCATTAATATCATGTCATTCATTTTGTTATTAATATTATTAGTATTATTAATAATATTGTATTATTGATATTATTAATATTATTAGTATCATTAGTTATTAATATTATTAGTATTATTAGTATATTATTAGTATATTAGCATTATTAGTATTATATCATTATTAGTATTATTATCAATATTGTTACTATTATTACTCTATTTTTTAATTTTTTTATTTTCTCCAGGCTCAGGTATACCAGAGATGAAGACTGTCCTGAGAGGTGTCAATCTACCCAATTACCTTTCATTCAGGACCTTCATATCAAAGACTGTGACACTAATAACAGCAGCAGGGAGCACACTACCCATTGGGAAGGAGGTACATTGTGTTATATAATGTCACTCAATTACACATACCCAACACTTGATGTAATGGAGCATTCATGTAGCTGGAATAACCAAATAAGGATTACAGTAACGGGCTCATTGTTACATAGATCTAGATTTTATGAGGCCATTCTTACTAAAAATAAGAGACAGAAGGATACCTATAGGCCAGGAAAATGCACGGACATGCATGGTAGTCTATAGTACAGTATAATAGTACAGGGTTTTAATTTGGCAAAATTTTGCCAAAAATGGCTAGGAGAGAATTCTTGATTTTAATAACCTTTTCTGATTCATATACATGTACATGTACTTATGTTTTGTAGAAAGTTTGAGTGGATTCCTATCAAATTTGGATTTTTTACGAATTTTTAAAGTTGCATTTTGCTAAAAAAAGAGAGAATTCTTCATTATTATAATTTTTCCTGATGCATGTACATGTACAACAATGTATAATAGTATATGTAATTGTTTTATTATATTTTTGTGTATTTAGGGTCCTTTTGTTCACATATCAAGTATAATTGCTGAGATTATGTCTCGCATCATTGGAAAATATGTTAAGATCTTTAATCATATTTTTGCTGTAAGTCGTAAAAATATGTACATGTACATGTATGCATACTAATCATCATCAATTCATCATCATCATCATTATCATCATCATCATTATTATTATTATTATTATACTGCAGCAATTTAAATAAAATTAAATAATTAAGAGGCCGACACATAACAGCAGAAAAATTAAATAACAATTAACTAACACTAATGAAAATATTATCATTAATTGATGGTCATAATTCTTCATCATCACTATTCATAGAATGAAGCCCATACTAATGAGCTGTTAGCTGCTGCCTGTGCTGTTGGTGTCTCCAGTAATTTTGCTGCTCCCATTGGAGGTACAGTTCATAATACTAATTAATAGATGTATATATAATAACAGCAATTTTTGTGTTGCAGGTGGTATTTTTCCTTATTTTTATCCTCACTTAAAATCCATGAAATTTAAATCACCTCCAATGCCATTCTATTGTATTACATTATAATGTAATGTATATACATGTACAGTAGACTATGCCCAGGACACAAAAATTAGCTCACAAAATTTTTAATTTTTGAGGACTTTTTTGAAAACAATTAACACTCCAAAATTTCAATGTATAGATACATGTAATTAGAGTAAAAATTATCTAATATTACATGTACTGTACATGTATTTATGTTTATACTTATATATTTTATATTTTACACTCAAAAATTTTAATGTATTTTAAATTTTTGTGCACCCATTCTCCAGGCGTGTTATTCAGCATTGAAGTAACTGCCACTTATTTTGCCGTGAGGAATTACTGGAGGGGATTCTTTGGGGCTGTATCTGGTGCCTTCCTCTTCCGTCTCATCGCCGTGTGGGTCAAACAAGAGGAGACTATTACTGCTCTCTTTAAGACTTCCTTTGACATTGTCTTCCCTTTCGATCCTTTGGAAATAATGGCCTTTGCTTTTATTGGGTAAGAAATTAGAGCTCCTGAAAGTGTGTTAATTTAACTTAATTGTCTTCTCTCTCTCTCTCTCTCTCTCTCTCTCTCTCTCTCTCTCTCTCTCT